GTGGCTGGCGCCTTAGCCGGTTGAGCTATAGGCGTCGAGCCGAATATTTAATTCTTAACTCAAATAATACTGAGCTTATGTTTCTGTTTCTTGGAATTACTAACTCTTGGGATCCACTTTGAAATGAGGAAGGGGTCAATCACTCACATTTCATCTTTCTCCGAATTTTTTGCTGCTGGATTTCTTCAAATCTTAGATGCCATTTGCTTGTAAGAGTTGCTATTATTAGCAACATGAGGGCCCATCCTGTTGGACTCATCCTGATTTCAGAGATGTTAAAATGTAACACAGATCAAGTATGTGTATGTACAAGTTACTGTTTTATGTGTAGAGGATACAAAAATAATTAAAAAAAAGACTGTTCTGTGATGCTGAGTTACATTCCTACAAGCAAATAAATGCTTTGTGTGGTCTGAAGCATTTTGGTACTGGTGCTTTTATTAATTTAATCTTTCTAGGAGTTAGCCTAGAATGCTGTGTGAAGGTTTTTCACACAGTAACAAGTCTGCCACCTGGCTGACAGTACTTGTAAGTGTATGGATTGTAAAATGTGTGCTGGTCTTAGCAGGGTTAAAAAGTGAGAATGTGTGTGTTAAATAGAATCAATGAAATAAAGTATGTGATATAATTTAAGTAGTAGCAGATACTTAGGTGAAGGGATAGTGTGATTAAGGAAGGCATGTCTGAGCCGGGCGTTGTGGCAGGCGCCTGTAGTCCCAGCTACTCGGGAGGCTGAGGCAGGAGAATCACCTAAGCCCAGGAGTTGCTGGTGAGCTGTGACGGCACACCACTCTACCGAGGGGACATAATAAGACTCTGTCTCTACAAAAAAAAAAAAAAGGAAGGCATGTCTGAAGAGTTGACATTTGAAAATATTCTGATGTATTAAGTAGTGTTCTGGGATCATCTTTTTCTCAGGTTTTGTGCTACTGTGTGTGTATTCTTATTATCGGGGCTAGATGGATTCTCTTTTCTAACATACCATCAGTTGCTCAAAAAATTTTAGTTTGCTTTGTATTTGGATTGTGACTTTCCATGTATCATTTGTTTCTAACTGGCCTTTTATTTTTCTTGTAAGAAAAATTTAACTTCGGGAAATCGGTAAACTTTTTTGAAGGTATGTCTAGTACATGGATTTAGTTTCTTCTCTGGAGTTCTCTGCTCTATCTAGGCTTTGCCCTGGCATCCTGAAATTTACCTGGTTTAAAGACTACTTTATCTCAGATCAGATATTTTCTTTTTCCTTCATTTCCTCCTTCATTTTATTGGAGAACATCTTTTTTTTTTTTTGCAGTTTTTGGCTGGGGCCAGGTTTGAACCCACCATCTCCGGTTTATGGGGCCAGTGCCCTACTCCTTTGAGCCATAGGCGCTGCCCATTGAGCTATTTTTTTTTTTTTGAGACAGAGCCTCAAGCTATCCCCCTGGGTAAAGTGCCATGGCATCACAGCTCACAGCAACCTCCAACTCCTGGGCTCAAGCGAGTCTCCTGCCTCAGCCTCCCAAGTAGCTGGGACTACAGGCGCCTGCCACAACGCCCAGCCATTTTTTGGTTGCAGCCATCATTGTTGTTTGGCGGGCCCAGGCTGGGGATTTGAACCCGCCACCTTAGGTTGTATGTGGCTGGTGCCTTAGCCACTTGAGCTACAGGCGCCGAGCCGGAGAACATCCTTAAGTAGCTTATTCAGAAAGGGTGGCAGGAGATAAAGGGTGTCTCATACTTGATAACAGTCAAGCTAGGTATAGAATACTAGTTTAACATATTTTCAGAACCTGGAAAGTGTTTTTGCTCCAGTATTTTCTGGCATCCAGGTTTCTTTTCTTTTCTTTTTTTTGTAGAGACACAGTCTCACTTTATTGTCCTTGGTAGAGTGCTATGGAGTCACACAGCTCACAGCAGCCTCCAACTCCTGGGCTTAGGCTATTTTCCTGCCTCAGCCTCCCGAGTAGCTGGGACTACAGGTGCCCGCTATAACACCTGGCTATTTTTTTGCTGTTGCAGTTTGGCTGGGGCAGGGTTTGAACTCTCCACCCTCAGTATATGGGGCTGGCGCTGCCCAACATCTAGGGCTTTTTTTTTTTTTTTTAAGACAGTCTTACTTTGTTGCCCTCTACCGTCACACTGCTCACAGCAACCTCCAGCTCTTGGGCTTAGGTGATTCTCTTGCCTCAGCCTCCCGAGTAGCTGGGACTACAGGTGTCCGCCACAACACCAGGCTATTTTTGTTGTTGCTACGGTTTGGCCGGGGCCAGGTTTGAACCCGTATCTCTCGGTATATGATGCCGGTGCCCTACTCACTGAGCCACAGGCGCCGCCCGGACGTCTAGGGTTTTTAACGTCTTAGTAATGCCAGTTATTTTCTTTTGTTGGTGATTTTCTTCCTCCCTGAAAGCTTTTAGTGTTCTCTTTAAACTTCTCTTAGTCTCTACCTGTTCTCTCTTTCTTTCTGTCTGTCTCACTATGTCGCTCGCCCTAGGTAGGCATTGCAGCTCACAGCAGCCTCCAACCCTGGGGCTTAAGCCATTCTCTTGCCTCAGCCTCCCGAGTAGCTGAGACTACAGGTGTCCGCTACAATACCTGGCTATTTTTTGGTTGTAGTTGTTATTGTTGTTCAGCAGGCCCGGGCCGAGCTTGAACCCGCCAGCTTCGGTGTATGTGGCTGGTGCCCTACTCACTGAGCTATAGGCGCCAACCTTGCCTGTTCTTTTCCTTACTGCTGATTTTTGTCATGTAGAGTTTGTCTACATTTGCAAAGGAAGGATTAGATAGTGCTTGAGTATTATTGCCTGTTTGTTTTTGAGTGGAATGTGCTATTACCAACTTGTTGGTGAGCTTGTAGTTAAGCTCTGCAGAGGGCCTAGTGCCAAGTTGTTCCATCAGTTAATCCAGGGGTCCTCAAACTTTTTAAACAGGTGGCCCATTCACTGTCCTTCAGCCTGTTGGACAACTGGACTGCGGCCCAGGGATGAGTCGCCTGCTAAGCAGGACAGGCAGCAGCGGCAGAAACACCCGGTGGGCTGGATAAATGTCCTAGGTAGGGCCTATAAATGTCCTAGGTGGGTGGCCAGCGGGCCGTAGTTTGAGGACGCCTGAATCCCTCTACGTTAGGCTTGCCTCACTTTGCCCTGGAACCTCCTGTGTGCATGTTTTGTGATACATACTTTTATCTAAACTCGTATTCTAGAAATGTGTTGAAGTATCTGTTAACATTCCCTTTTCTGTTGATTTTGGTGGGGTGGGTTTATTCCATGTTGTATATTTCACTGCCTTTTTATCAGGGTCTGGTGGGGAGGC